TCTAAAAAAAAGTGTAGTCAGCGACGCCTCCTGACCCCTAATTGGGTGTTTCTATGCCGGTTTCAAGCTCTCAATTTTCAAAATTTTCTTGGGGAGGCCCCACAGACCCCCCCGCCGGCGCGCTTCGCGACTGCGGCGCTCGCGGGCGGTTGGCTTCGCCCAACGCGGCTTCGTGGACTCTAAATCCGTGCTCTGAGAATTTAACCTTATTTTAGGCCCTGATATAATATGCAATTAGATTAATTAATCAATTAAATTCCATCAGCTTGCTATTACAAGACTAATTTTATTTTCAGGGCTTTCGATTTCAGTTCTACGATCCATGTGATATTAGATAAATTTAATGTAATTGAAACTAGAGTAAGTAGGAGCCAATTAGTAAATTGTCATTCTTGTGTCTTAATTTTTGTTTTATGTAAAAGACAACGATTATTTAGTGCCGGTAGTCAACTTAATAGAATCGACATGCGATTTGATTTACCCTCTATGCTCCATCCCTAATGGACTCAGACGTCATACTTCATACGTCATATTTCCGTACGTTCTATGATTGTTTGGGAGGAGAGAATCGTCTTCTCCTTGCGTTAAAAGTATGCAGAATACGTGAGTCACTGTTTATAATGTGTTATATTATTAATATATGTATAGAAAATAAAAAAGAAACCTATTCTTGAATCTCTATATATTCAAATATAAATTTCTTTAATTCACAGCCAGTAGCACAACAAGCTGAGAAGAATGACTCTTCAGAAGAAAACATGAAAAAGTCGTTAATTATTGTTACCTCAGGTCTAGCATTAATTGTCATAACTTTAGTTTTAGTTCTGATAAATTTACGATCAAGGTAGGTACATTAATAATGATAATAGAATTTGGGGAATTAATATTAAAAACTGTACATAAAGAGGGCACATTGTGTGGGGGCGGGGGAGGGGGATATTATGTTAGCGTGTAAATAATTTTGAAAAGTCTCATTTTAAAAGCACCGAGCACATTCGAAATTGACTTTTCTGTAAAGGATTGGGTCAGTAGTAAAGACGTCTACAAACATATTACCAGTCACAATTTAAGTAATATGTAACCCCGAGCTGAACAACTGGGGCCGGTTGCTCAAAGCTCTGTTATCTTTTAACACGGATCATTAACTTTAACGGAGAGAAAGGTTGTTGCTGGAAGCCCCGTTAACTTTAACGTGTAGTTAACTTGGCGTTATATTTAACGGAGGTTTTGGTCTCCGTTATCTGTTTAATGATGGCATTAGATGGCTGTAGCAAAAAGTCATAGATTACATTGTACCTATGTAATTTTCTATAGAACATTCTAGAGGGTTGGGCGATGCGGGCCTATTCCATTTTCTATAGGATGAAATTCTATACTATTTTACAGAATTTTGGTGGCCTGTAGGAAATAATGGCCCCATCATTCTGTAGTGCAAATCCCATAATTTTTCCTACAGATTTATGCTAAAATTTCTAAAGGAAAAAATAAAGTATTCTATGGTGTTTTCTGTAGTAAATTCTAGTTATCTTTTTGTCTTTAATCAAGTTTTGTGGACAGACTGCACAGTTAGTTGTCTCACTGTCTTCAGTTTCTTGTTAATACTAACTTCTATGAAGTTGTTATACATGTACATTGAATTCAAAAATTTAAAATTCAGCCAATGAACAAACAGTATTCTCTTGGATTAACTTTAATGAATCCGTTAGCTAACGGATAATGAAATTGACTTTCCAGCAACAGAAATTTAACAGACCGTTAACAAACGACAAGTTACCAAGATAAAGATCCGTTAAAATCTAACGGATCGTTAAAATAACTTAGTTTTGAGCAGCCGGCCCCTGGTCTGATAACGCCACCCACTATGAATTAATGGTTTTGTGGGTCTTATTCAGAATATTTAGACCTGCTTTGGGTGGCAGTATAGGTGATTTCATATTACGCTTAAGTGTGTCTGTGCTTCCTTGTGCTTTTCGTTGTCTATAGGTATCAATGTCTTAAATTTTGTTATCCCTACAAAAAACTTTGTGTTAAAGTATCTTCAATATTACATTACAAATATTGCCATAGTCATAACATCCTGGCATGCGAATTCGGCGAGGAGGTAATCTTGTTGCATATTGAATTGATGGTGTGTATTTGTTTCTCTGTGTACTATCATACATCTCTTAGCTAACTCTTCTGTTTTCGTTACTCTTTACATAAAACAAGGTAAATGTAATTCCTTATATTTCCACAGAACAAAAGAAATTTACTTTCCTTCAAATAGTATTGTAATTCTGGGATAATGACTAGCACCCATATTTCTCTTTTAAATTTACCCCATTTTAATGTATACGCATCATTTATAAATGTGAAAAATCTTCGGGCAAATGAAAATTTCCGTATTTTTCCTTGTTAACACAGAGTAGAGTTATAATCATACTGTTTAACGTAAACTTGACACGATAAGGTAATTATGAGACTAGCATGTGGTATATCTCTACTGTAGATCGGATGCGGGCTGTGCTCTTCAGTAGTGAGAACAAAGTCTTTCAATTTCGTTAACGTCGGCAAAGCTGAAGGTTTTATTAAAGGTCGACATTGATTGATTGTAAGCAGAAGAAGAGTAGGGGTTGCATTGCAACGTTAGGTACCATGGAATAAAATTTACAATGGTATACAAGTCTAACGTTAGGCTCATTTTATTCATTCTTGCATTCATTCATTTGAATATTCATTGATCATTCATTGATTCATTGATTATTCATTGATCATTCATTGATTCATTGATCATTCATTGATTCATTGATCATTCATTGATTCATTGATCATTCATTGATTCATTGACCATTCATCGATTCATTGATAATTCATTAATTATTCATATATTCATTGATTCATTGATCGTTCACTGATTCATTCATAGATTCATTCATTGAAAGATCATTCACTGATTCATTGATTGATTTATTTCGTTTCTAAACTGATTGTACGCCGTGTAATATTGAGTTTGAGTTTGTGTAGATAATCAAGGCCTAAACATTTATATTAAGAATGAAACGTTCAAATGCACTACTCAAATATGACATCGGTATAGAGAATACCGTTTGAGCTAAATGAAAAATAAAACTTTATATTTCCAATATAAAAGATATCTGAATTGTATCCAAATTATATCAACAATAAAATAAAGTAAAACAATAGGTCCATTAAGGAAATATATCTGAATTGATCAAAATTATAAAAAACACTAAAATGAAGTAAAGGGTAAGGGAAATTAAAGAAATATGCAAACGTTTGTTTACCTTGTTTCATGTTTACCGCTATTACCAGCTTTGCTGTCTGATAATAATATTCTGTCTTACAAGGTAATTTCTTTTTTTTATATTATTGAGAACGCGTATCATTCTGCACTGACATGTATTATTTACCAAAAACACAAATATCAGTGTTGTTAATATTTAAAAGAGCTAAATCGTTATTCTTTGGCACCTAGAAATGGACACAAATGGTTCGCAACGCATATAATAATGTAATATGAATGTATATAAACCGATTTACATCCAATCGTTTCTGTTTTTACTGTAATTTCTAATCGGTTATGTTCGGCGAGATACGCGATTTAAATTGTTGATTTAAATTGACCAATAAGTCGTGTATGCAATAATATAGTGATATTGAGTAAAAGCCTTGGCTCCTTTAATGCACAAAGGGGTAATATATTTTTACACTTACGCATATAAAGATCTGCAAGTATTTTAATCTCACAATGTGCATAAATTTTATTTCTAGATATCGAAGACGACTTCGTGCAGCTAGTACTAAAACTTTTGGTAAGATTATGTAACAAAATTCTAATTAATAGTCCTGACTCGGGGGATGGGGTGGGGGGGGGGCGTCTGTATACATTTCTCTTTTACAGCGACACTTTGACTTTTCCTGTTCTATATGTAACACCCCCAGGACGAGTGCATTTTTTCTGGACAGGCAAATTACTGATAATGACTTGACGCCAATGGGCCAAAATAGCAAAAGTCAGGTTTTTTTTTAAAAATTAATTCAAGAGTTATTTAAAGTTACAATTTCATATTTTCTAAGAAAGTCAAAACATAATTATTTCTATGTCTTTAGCTCGATAGGTTGTCAACTCACTATTATACGATCATAGGCGTCATTCTCACACTTAAAACTCATTTACACCGGAAATAATAACACAATTACCTCCTAATTACCGCTCCCTTGTTTTCTATTCTCCACCATGGAGTAGCTAACTTCAAACTTTTGAATTTGAAGAGGAAAATGATATTTTTGCCAATTTCTCAACTGGCAATAGTGAATTATAGGATTAATAGGATTATTCTTTAACAAGGTAGGACTGTTTATAGATACCATCTATTTTAAGGCTTTATTTTAATAAATTTTAAAAATATAACGTAAAAATATGAAATTTCAACTTTAAATGAAACATTTTTTTTATCATGTTTTAAAAGTGGTTCAAGCCAAACATGACTAAATTATAATCGATTCATTTTCATTTTTTTTTTATGTTTCTAATTTCGAATCCAACTGTATTATTATTTATGTATTAAAATGGATTTTTACGATTAAAAAATTAATTCGATTCCTTTGGACTTCATGTTTACAGTAAAATAAAAAAATTTATATTAGTACAGTTGCATTTAAATTCTTAATGATCACTGGGATCATATTTCATACCATGAATACACATTTATTTTAAACGTTTTTACGTCCGTTATATAGTTTATTGCCACATTAAAGACTTGATCTCCAATGCAATGAACAATCCTGTATCATTATGGACAATTGATACACTGCTCTATACATATATTCAACATAATGACCAAAAGGTAAAAGATAAACGATCCAACTTATACCCCGCTACTGATAAATATTCGTACAGAAACTATTTCATCTTTGACACTGTCAACTCTGGAATATGTACTATAATATATATTTCATACATGCATAGATATGAGAGTCAAATATCATACTTGAATTATTTTAGGCTCATCCAAAGATGCAGTTCCAGATCTCATTCCTCCAGGAACCAATAAATACTATGCTTCTGCGTGAGTATTGTCTATAATGGCCTTTACTGAAATTGCTTAATTATGGAAGATTAGATAAAGAGGTGGCAGTTCTCACTATAATAGTTAAAATCTAGGTAATGTAAAGGGGGTATGCTGAAAATTGCTTCACTCTAAGCCGAGAAAGCCTTATTTTAAAATTACTGTAGCCTCGATTGTCATTGTTACCGTTGTCACGATAATAAAGTCTCGATTATCCATTTTTTTTTTGGTTAATCATCAATGGGCGTTGAACAACAGGTCGGTTTCAAATCAAATGAAAATCGGACATCTAAGATACCACCGAGAGTTGATTATGGCCTTTTCATATTAATAAATGTCTAGTTAATAGTTTATAATAACATTTCGGACCTAAAGAAAGACCTGCAATAGGCAGATTTACCTCTTGCATAATTCATGTTTAATTACTTTGACAATTTATAGATTGATATCTGCGTTTAAAAGCCATATGCATTTGATAATAATAAATTGTGAGGATTTGAAAGATGTTTGACACTTGATTAAATGCGAGCAGTAATTATGGCCATGCGTCTAAATGTTGTGTCGAAACTTTCTTTGCGTGACAAAAACAATATATTTATAGCAACCCATAAATCATTCATAGAAAACCATGAAATACATATGTTTTACATTTTATAGATCCAACCCTGTTTATATGAAAGAACTGAATATTGATCTAACAGAAGACTCAATGAGGTAGTGTTGTTTTTTCAAGTTTTTTTTTATATATTATCACAGCAGCTTAACAGCGTGTCTCTAAAATAAAGATTTAGTTGGGCTGATCGATCAGTTATTTCGATTAGTGGAGGGTCAAGCTCTGTAGATCGATTTTCTTGCCGGAACAACCAGTAGTAGGTTTGTTTTTCTTCAAATTAAGTTGGTCGCCCACTGTTATATATCTCAACATCGGTTTAATATAGGGACGAAAAACTTGGATTGCAGTAAGATTGCCACCCAACAAAATAAATTAAATCTCAAATTCAAAGATCAATGAGGCGGTAAATTCTATTTTGCAGTAATATCGTCAAATGCTGCATTCATTTAAATAATTACCCTTTAAAAACAGTGTGAAAATATGAGCTCTTAAATAAGTAAGATCTTTTCTTAAAATAATAAGCAGTCAATTGTAAGCACGTGACCACAATTCTTTTAGCAGAAGAATAGGAGAAAATAAGGAAAATACTAAAATACTATTTCTTACACAGATATTCCTTGCACTCAGCTAAAATCATATAATTTTGGCCTTGGATCACCATTGTCTGAGGAATAAAATACATAGATGCGGATTCAGCTATTCAGTGTTTTAATAAACAGGGACCTGTTTCACAAAAATCGTCTTAAACTAAAATTCCATCCTAACTTAAGATGGATGCGTTTCACAAAACGATTTTAAGCATTTTAGATAAAATCCACTAAAATAATATTGTAAGTTAAAATTGTATCTTAACTTAAAATAGTGGCGTTTCACAAAACTATTTTAGGGACAATTTTAACTAAAATCAATTTTAACTTAGGACAGCTGTCACCCTCTCCTAACTTAAAATCACGACATTAACAAGCATTGATTAGAGCTACGTTGTGGGATCTATTGCGACATATAGATATATTTGGAATAATGATAATATTGCCAATGGCCCAGGTTATATAATTTAAACATGCTATCATTCATAAAAATAATTTTCATTCAATTTCTTTTCATTGCATGGGAAATATAGCTGCGGCCCACCCGTTTATTTTATTATAAGGCAATATAGGCAATTAGATGACGCCCCAAATTAAAACCCCAAGAACAAAAAAACCCTCAAAACCCCAGTAAACAAAACTCTTTGTAACTATTTTATATATTACCATGATTCAAGTATAAATTATACTATTTTCAAATAATAGATAGACCCCCAAAAAAGCATTAAAAAATTCTAAACCCACTTTATATCTAATGTCTAAAAACAATATCTTTGTAGGCCTACAATTGTTTAAAATGAGAGAGAGAGAGAGAGAGAGGGAGAGAGAGAGAGAGGGGGGGGTTAACGTCCACTAGACACAAACTAGGTCATTTTGGGACTAACACATGGTTCAATTTTACTTCAATAATTCGCTTGCGCGTAGGGATCTTTAGTAGTGGGAGGAAACCGGAGGACCCGGAGAAAACCCACGAGGTTGAACAGGCGACCCTACTCCCTGTCACGTACAACCTGGGAAACGAAACCCCGTCAGTCCTATAATATGAGATACGCCATATGCAAAGTATTTATGGTTTTGGGGTTATGGTGATTTTTATAGGAGCCAAGGGTATTTTATGTTGGGAAAAAATCATTTTAATTTAGTAAGATAGATAGGCATTATCCAATAAGGAGTGCGGCACTTTGGCATTTTCAAATTATTATTGAAAGGGTCCATGGGACTGTCATTTCGTGTATTAGTTTAAAAGTTATTAAATATTTTTAAAAATCGACAATAGTTTAGTCTAGATTAATCGTTTGAATCAGAAATATCACGTTTGTGACAATTTCTCAATAGTTTCTGTTATCCAAAATACCGATACACATTATTTCTATTGAAGCCTGCGGGTAAATCATATGCCAAGGTCACGAAAGTGACATGCAAGTTCAAGGCCAACAACTAATTCATTTCAAAACGAATAACACGCAATTAACTTATTTATTTCATCTCTCTACGACCCGGAGAAAACCCACGAGGTTGGACAGGCGACCCTACTCCCTGTCACGTACAACCTGGGAAACGAAACTCCGTCAGTCCTATAATATGAGATACGCCATATGCAAAGTATTTATGGTTTTGGGGTTATGGTGATTTATATAGGAGCCATGGGTATTTTATGTTGGGAAAAAATCATTTTAATTTAGTAAGATAGATAGGCATTATCCAATAAGGAGTGCGGCACTTTGGCATTTTCAAATTATTATTGAAAGGGTCCATGGGACTGTCATTTCGTGTATTAGTTTAAAAGTTATTAAATATTTTTAAAAATCGACAATAGTTTAGTCTAGATTAATCGTTTGGGTCAGAAATATCACGTTTGTGACAATTTCTCAATAGTTTCTGTTATCCAAAATACCGATACACATTATTTCTATTGAAGCCTGCGGGTAAATCATATGCCAAGGTCACGAAAGTGACATGCAAGTTCAAGGCCAACCAACTAATTCATTTCAAAACGAATAACACGCAATTAACTTATTTATTTCATCTCTCTACGACTGTCTGACCATGTGCAGACATTGTTACAACGTATGAAACCCCCCTCATTGGTATTGTAACGGTTAGTTCAACCTGGTAACAGTTTTCAGTTCCGAAGCGTGTTTTCAGTTCCGAAGAAGTGCCCTCGCCGGAATTGTGCCTGCGCGAGCGCAAGCAATTTTAACTAAAATCTATTAAAATTGCATTTTAAGTTACAATCGATCTTCGTGAAACGCATAAAATTTAAAATTTCAGTTTGATTTTCGTTAAAATCGATTTTAATGATTTTAGTTTAAGGTTTTGTGAAACAGGGCCCAGGTTTCAATTAGAAATGTCGTTCAAACCATAGGAAACTGCTGTAAATAACAAACTAACAAGAAGATTCGAATTTGTTTCAATCCGAGACTTTCCTAACTAATTGATCATTTTTATCGGGTGTTTCCCAAAATTTACATTTAAAGTTTTTATAGTGTATTAGATTTATTGGGCAGGGAAGGGTCGTGAGGTGAGGATCTGCAATTCATGGGTTTCATCCTGTCGAAGTCTCTCATTTCAAGAACTAATTCGATGAATTTGTTTCTTTTTTGTTATTATCGTTAGTCGGAATTCTATTGATGATAACGAAGTTGGTGACAAGAAGGCCGCTGACTCTTCAAAGCCGGAAGAACAAGAAATTGCTATCACACTATATGAAGAAAACACATATAGTTTTAAAGATGCCAATCGTAGTTCAGCTTTAGATTTAGTTTTACAACAATATGAAGAATCTACAAAAGCTAAGAAGGGTGCTAATTCTCTAAATTCAATATCCGCCAGTGATTTTTCCAATATTGATGATCTGGAGCATTCAGACATTTAACTAACAATGGATTGTTTGTTTAAATATATTCTATAATATGTCGATTGTGAACCTTAATCGTATTAGAAAACCTTAGACTGTCTTGGCATCTATTGCTCTTTTAATTCAATAGGGGTTAACTTATTTTTAAAATGATGATTTGTATTATCGAAAATATAGCATACAATATACATTGTTAGTATTGCATAATAAAATATATTTAATATCTGCTTTACACATCATTTTGGTTTTTAAAATAGGATAATATATTAAATTATATATATATTAAATATCTGCTTTAAGTAGTATTTTATTATTTGAAATAGAATGACATATTAAATTAAGATTTCCTAAATATACGTTTACACATTTTATACTATAATTTATTAAATTAAGACAAGGATTTCTTGGGTTAAAAGCGTTATAAAAGTATTACTGTAAACGTATTGTTCTATAATTATAAAATGGGGACAGAACCTGTGTTGACAACTTTTATTTTTAAGGATTTAAACTGCCGTTAGCTGATAGATTATACGGGCTGTATTTTTATCTTTGCGAATCTATGAAAGAAGGATTTTAATGTAAGTGTACATAGCCTTCACCATAAATAAATTAACTTATATTATTAAATTACTTTTCAATTCATATTCCACGAAGAGGTTCTTTGCATTTGTCTCATAAATATATAAATATATACAGTTTTATGTTGTATTTTTAGAGCTTTTCTTATTTTCTGTATTTGTATATTCAATTCAATATTATTATTATAAACTACATTTGTTGACGTAAATGAAAGATTGGTATGTATGTAAATAAAATGTGTATGTAAATTATTTATTTTAATAATAATTAATAAAAGAATCATCATTCAGTTAAATATTGCAATGCAAGAAATAAAACTCATTTGAAAACTTATATAATTAATTGATCTTTTAATAAGCTTGCATATAGTCGGAAACAGTATGGCTGAACCCTTATCATTAATCGTAATCTACCCGAGCTGCAATCGCGTGACACAGCATGAAGAGTTATTTCAAAATGGCGGCAATATTTGGCGGGACATTTCGATGTTAATACTGGATAGTGTAATACGCCAAATTCATATCTGAACGGCTGAATGTCCTATGATCGAACTAAACGACAATATGGTTCTCAAACGCGACATAATAGCTAAGTTCAGGATACCATAGAGAATATAGTAATGTTAAAACATTTGTACCAAGAACAACCAACCCAAGGATATTCTCCCCCGTATTCTTGTAAGACCACAAATTATACACGGTCGAACACAATGAACTATCGAACCATCGTGAGTTGAAAGCAAATGTTTCTAAAATTTAACTGGTGCTCACATATTTGTTTTTCCCACCCTCACATATTTCTCGCTTTAAATACTGGAATACTCGCAATCGGTAAGAACCTAGACTGACATTTATTAGATCATTCATACGGGTAAAGCTGAGGTTTCGTATGACGCCGGCAAACATTTTCCATATCTTATTCCATATCTTGCGCCATTCAGATATGAAATTGGCGAACACGAAAACCTATAGTTTGACGTATTACACTATCAAATTAATAACATCGTTATGCCTCCCCAAGTATTGTCGCCATTTTGAAAATGAGCCAATCTGGAATATCCTTTGGTCGGAACATGTTTTTATGTTTATATCCAAAGTAAATGACATCTATATTTCAAAATATTACACACTTTCTTAGGGAACTTTATTAGTTTCCCGCCAAAATGAGCCCCCATTTTGAATTTGGCCTCCTAGTGGAATTAGCCGTCACTTTTAGTAGGAATACCCAAACTCGTTTGATTCAGCGCTTCAAATTCTTATAGAAAGCCCCTTTAACCCGAGGCCCAAGAGAATTAAATTTCCCCAAGGGTGCCAGGGTGGCATCATCGGGATTCTAAATCTACACATATCGAAGACAGATCATCCACCGAAAACCTATATTTCAATATATTACACACCTTTTTAGGGAACGTTATAAGTTTCCCGCCAAAATGAGCCTCCATTTGAGTTTGCCCCCCTAGCGGAATTAGCTGTCACTTTTAGGAGGAATACCCAAGCTCATTGGATCCAGCTGGTCGAATTCTTCTAGATACCATCTTCAAGCCGAGGTCTGACATAATCCTCGCAGTGTTTCGGTTGATTAGTGCTAATCCCATTTAACACTGTTGTAAAGGAAGCAAATTTCTGTTCCAAATTATTACTGGTCAATAGTCCGATTAACAACCAATAGCTTACTGCGTAACAATATCAATACGCTTTAAACAGAGCTCCAAAATGGACTAAATGTGTTTACATAACGTTACGTCATGACTCACAATTTTATTATGCCCAATTAACCAGTACATAGCAGAATATTACAGAAAACTAACTGCGTGACAAACGAGGCTATCAACACGAATACCATGTAAACAATACTGTTTGGAGACGATCAATACTTTCACCGTTTTTAATACCTTAAATCACTGTCCAAAGTTTTAGGGAAGATTCCAGATTAAACGAAGGGTTGTTATGTTGCTGTGCTTGGGATAGATTTGATTGAACGGGAAGAATAGACACACTCCCTCAAAGGCTCAAGTATAAGAAGCCAATCAAGCAACGGCCAGAGAGGGATTTCTCGGGCCATTGCTTCAGGAATATGAGGTCCGAGAGAATCTGTAACTAGTTTTACCCCACTAAATAACCAGAAAATGCCCCGTGGCGACCACCATAAATATTTCAATTTCCCCAATTTTCATACGGAAAAGGTGTGTACAACACCGTCGTCTTTTTACCGTCTTTTTTGCTTTTTTTGGACGCTGAAATGTTGTGTCATAGCGTTTCTATGGATCTATGTGTATCCTAAAACATGAAGATTTATATTTGATGTGATAAAGAATGGCATTTAATCATTATTTTTGACGAGTGTTTCTCGGAATTTTTATATTTTTCCTGTCTTTCTGTCTGAATGCCTATTGATCTAAACTTTCTGAAATGATACATTAGTGAAACCAAAAATTGCTGTCGAAGATTTTTAATAAGATCCAACATTAATTTCTTTTTAATAGCTCAGCGACTGTCGATCGACTTCACTCCCTCCAATAATTTGTAGGCTAAGCACTTGACTGGTATTGGTGGTGATCATGCTGTAATAGAACTCAACTGAGTACTCATACGTTATACGCAGCACGATAATTTGCTAAAACTATAAAACTACATTGAAGCAACGTATCACGTGACGATACGGATACGTGATACGGATGGGAAAAATTCTGGAAAAAGTATCTAATATGTTGTATAAACTTAACGTATTGTATTAACGATTGATGTGTATTCTATGAAAGGAACTTCATGGTAATGCCCCCGTCAGACCGGGTGGCGTCCTTACTGCGCTGCTGCGATTGTACAGCGACTAGAAAATGCTACTTATTTATTTGAGCGACGTTTCGAAGAGTATTCTCTCAACGTTATCAAGCGTTATAGTTTAGTTTATAGTTTATTGCTCTATCCAGTTACTAATGTCTTTCAGAGATTATTGGTAATAAACGTTAACAAAATTGTGACAAAATCTTCCTTTCTTAAATTGAAACACACCGGCGATTTAATACAGGGAAATGGCGGCAATAGCCACAATATTTGCACCGTATAAATTGTTTTACTGATTTAACCCAGACATAGCCTGGAGCATACACTAATTATTATATCAAGTGGGCTTACGTGCTCATTTCATCGTTAATAAAATATTCTGTTGGCACCAAGACATGCACTGTCTGTTCCTGATCGTGTTCTGGATACCATTGTTGAAAGATATTTGTGAATATTGATTTTATTTGACGACGGAGATTTTCTCATTAACTAATGAACATGTTTCCAAGTCAATCAGTATATCTTTTGTTTTCGGTTGTCTTTGTTTTTGATCAATTAAAAGCTTTTATTGTATCCATCTATTCAGTTTGATTTTAAAAAAATTGCAATTATAAACCGCACAATTCACAGCATTCTTTTAGAATAGAATTAATGTGAATCACCTAATCTCATTTCATAGCTGTATGTAATTTTTTTTATATATAACTTAATGATGATTAAAGTGAATGTATTTCTTATATGGGTTATTTTGATACATCACTCACAAAAGATACTAAAACCGATTGAAATTTTGATTTATCAATGCATTGTCCCGCGACCTTTCGAAAAAAACATGAGATTACTAAACTGGGTTCTTCCGTTTGTCTGTCTGTAGATATGCATTAGATGGATGTCTTGACGGAGCTTGATGAAGCTTGGTGTAGATGTTCGACGCAGAATATCTATCAGTCTGTCTGCTCATCACCCTTTTGAAACACAACAACTTTGATTAGTGTGTGAGTTAGTTTTATTTAACGTCCGCTTCCACCGAGGTGATATCGCAGACAATAGATTAGGTAAATGTCTTGACTAAGAGCGATGGTGAACAATTTCAGATTAGACAAAGCAAAGATAAGCATTTTGAGTAACTGGGACATAATAACCCCGGGTAACTGGACTAACGCAGCTTCTGATAGAGGAAGAATGTTCATTAGCTGAGTGTTTTGGCTGAGTATGGTGATGAGCATTGTGTTTTGGAACACAATAACCCTGCTTCTAATTGAGGTAGAATGTTCAGACGTGGTGTAGATGTTTATAAGTTGACTGTCTTGACCGAGTGTAATGGTGACCATTTTCTGTTTGTGCTAAGTAAAGACAAGCAATTTGATTTGTCGATGATTTGTGAGACGGTAAGAGCGAGGGTGACACAATTCGGTGTATAGTTCCATTACATCAGTACCTCCACTAGGTTCAATAATTACCATATTCTACTTTGGTTAAACATGGGTAAACATTGGTGTTCACGGTACAAACGAGTATTAAACATTCTGTTTAATCAATGCTTTATCAAAAAACAGATAATTTTGCTAGTTATAAATGAGTGTCATCCATTTGTTTTGGAGAAGGAAGGCACCAGCCTCAGGGTTGACTTGTTT